AACTTAGTATACAGAGGCCCTTTTTTCCCTCCCTCCCACAGCTGCAAATTTTTCAAGCCTCCCTCCTCTGTCCCAAAGGCTATCTCAGATAAGGCGGCGAAAAAAACGCATGCGAGACGACATGTTCTCGGAAATCATGCAACCGACCCGCGATGAAAGAGCTCATCTGAATGAGTGGAAGGACACGGTATCAAAGTACAGGAAAGATGCCAGTGAATGTGAGGCCATGAGGGACGCTCAAGATGAGAGATGGCAGGCTGCAATGTAGGGGCTGCTGCATGATCAAACGGACATGCTCCGGCGTCTGGTGGAGCTTCAGGAACGGCAGCAGGATCACACAGAGTGCCGCTGCAGCCCCTGTATAACCGCCCTCCCCAGTCACCATGTTCTAATAACCTCCTCACCCAGACGCCCAAGAATGTGGGGGGGGGAGGCTCTGTGCACCCTCCCACTCCACCCCAGTGGACAGCCCAAGCAAAAGGCTGTCATTATTTTGAACTTTTGAAATGGCCTTTTCCTTCCCTCTTATCCTCCTCCCAAACCCGACCCGGGCTACCTTGTCAGTTCTCTCCCTATGTTTATAATCAATTAATAAAGAATACATGATTTTTAAATGATAGTGACTTTATTTCCTTTGAAAGCAAGCTGTGATCGAAGGAGGGAGGGTGGTTTGCTTACAGTGAATGAGTCAATCAAGGGGGCGGGTTTTCATCAAGGAGAAACAAACAGAACTTTCACACCGTAGCCTGGCCAGTCATGAAACTGGTTTTCAAAGCTTTGCTGATGCACAACACTTCCTGGTGTGCTCGTCTAATCGCCCTGGTGTCTGGCTGCGCGTAATGAGCGGCCAGGCGATTTGTCTCAACCTCCCACCCCGCCATAAATGTCTCCCCCTTACTCTCACAGAGATTGTGAAGCACACAGCAAGCAGCAATAACAATGGGAATATTGGTTTGGCTGAGGTCTGAGCGAGTCAGTAACGTGCGCCAGCGGCCCTTTCAATGTCCAAATGCACATTCTACCACCATTCTGCACTTGCTCAGCCTGTAGTTGAACAGCTCCTGACTACTGTCCAGGCTGCCTGTGTATGGCTTCATGAGCCATGGCATAAAGGGGGTAGGCTGGGTCCCCAAGGATAATTACAGGCATCTCAACATCCCCAACGGTTATTTTCTGGTCTGGGAAGTAAATCCCTTGCTGCAGCCGTTTAAACAGATTAGTGTTCCCGAAGATGCAAACGTCATGAACCCTTCCCGGCCATCCCACCTTGATGTTGGTGAAACGTCCCTTGTGATCCACCAGTGCTTGCAGGACCATTGAAAAGTACCCCTTGCGGTTTATGTACTGGCTGCCCTGGTGCTCCGGTGCCAAGATAGGGATATGGGTTCCATCTATCGCCGCACCACAGTTATGGAATCCCATTGCAGCAAAGCCATCCACTATGACCTGCACATTTCCCAGAGTCACTACCTTTGGTAGCAGCAGCTCAGCGATTGCTTTGGCTACTTGCATCACCGCAGCCCCCACAGTAGATTTGCCCACTCCAAATTGATTCCCGACTGACCGGTAGCTGTCTGGTGTTACAAACTTCCACAGGGCTATCGCCACTTGCTTCTCAACTGTGAGGGCTGCTCTCATCTTGGTATTCTGGCACTTCAGGGCAAGGGAAAGCAAGTCATAAAGTTCTATGAAAGTGCCCTTATGCATGCAAAAGTTTCGCAGCCACTGGGAATCGTCCCACACCTGCAACACTATGCGGTCCCACCAGTCTGTGCTTGTTTCCCGGGCCCAGAATCAGCGTTCCACGGCTATAACCTGCCCCATTAACAACATGATCTCCAAAGCGCCGGGGCTCGAGGTTTGAGAGAATTCTGTGTCCATGTCCTCATCACTCTCGTCGCCGCGCTGCCGTAGCCGCCTCCTCCTTGCCTGGTTTTTCAGGTCCTGGTTCAGCATAAACTGCACAATAAAGCGCGAGGCGTTTACAATGTTCATGACTGCTGTCTTGAGCTGAATGGGCTCCATGCTTGCCGTGGTATGGCGTCTGCACAGTTCACCCAGGAAAAAAGGCGCAAAATGGTTGTCTGCTGTTGCTTTCCCAGAGGGATGCGGAGGATGTACCCAGAACCACCCGCGACAATGTTTTCGGCCCCATCAGGCATTGGGATCTCAATGGGCGGGGGAGACTGCGGGAACTATGGGATAGCTATCCACAGTGCAACATTCCGCAAGTCGACGCTAGCCTCGGTACCTGGATGCACACCACCGAATTAATGTGCTTAGTGTGGCCGCATACACTCGACTTTATATAATCGGTTGCCAAAAATTGAATTCTGTAAATTCGGAGTAATCCCGTAGTGTAGACATACCCATAGTTCGAATGGTGGACATCTGTACTGTGGACGTAAATATCTGAGCCTTGCTGGTGACAAACTAGGGTCAAATTCTGCTTTTTCAGTGTTGTGGGGTTGTTGGATTATTTTATTTATTTATTACACCCAAAATACACTATGCTGAAGGAATGTTAAGACTGCAAAATTAAGTACTGAAGAGTTACAAAGTGTCAGAATTAAGGTTGCCCATGAAACCTTAATTCAACCTCCTGCTGGGTATACATTATAATATAGTCTTTAATTACATGACCATATGCTATTTTTTCCCACAGCACCTCTGCCTCTGTGAGTGTAGAGAAAGGACAGTGCTCTAGGAATGAATCAGAGTTGTACAGTGTATGAGGCTGTTGTCTATAGAACTGCTGCCTCATTTGTTGTAGGAGTTGGAAGATGAGAAGTGTCTCATAGATATAGAGAGAGGAAAATGTGATTACAACTACAAAAATTGGTAACGGAACCCAAGGGAAGGTGTAGTTCCTGAAGTTATTTTAAATATATATTGATTAGATTTCAAGTCAATAATGTCATTTTAAAATAAATGTATCTGATGGGACATAAAGTGAGAAGTATCTTACGCCATTATTCAGCATATAGTTATCCATGAAGTAATATCTGGTACTTTTAAAGACAAAAATAAATTAATCCATTTAAGAATGTAAGACAATGTGTGATTAAAAATAGGAAACATTTAGGAAACCACGTTCAGAGTTACAAATATTCTACTTGGTATGAAAAGCACCAAGTTATAAAAAGAAAGTGGAAGGCATATCATGCCTAATCAAGTCAAGCTTTGGTGCAATAGCAATATTAACTATAGCCAAAAAATCAAAGTGGTAATTGCTTATCACTAGTGAAGAACTGGGAGCTTAGGTGTTATAATGGTGAGAACATTAGAAATTCCCAAAACAAACAGAAATAAGAAAGATTCTCTGATATACAAGTGAAATGAGTTAGAGATAAGACCATTATTATTTATAAATGGAAACTTTTTATAATTGGGTTGTTACGCTATATAGAAATAGATAGTGGATTTGCTTTATTCTTACCAGTGCTGTAGGTAACGTTGTACTGCACAGTAATAAAGATGATGACATACTTGGCTGTGACCTGAAATTTAAAAGAGAGGGGAAAAAATAGAAAAATTGGCTACATTAATATTCAAAGTTTTAAACACCCAGTAAACTACAAGCATAGTAATTCCAGAGCCCCTAAACACTCCTTTTCAGATAAGTCTATGAAGAAGAATATGAAATCAATTAAAATAAATTTTGAGGGAACATGGTTACTTTAATGCAAACAGTTATTAATATTTAAATATATTTATGAAGCAGAAACCCTTAACATATAAAGTTAAAGTAACTGGAACTTGGCAAAGAAAGTGGGGATGGGTCCCACTCAACCAGTCTTGGTTAAAGACTATACTACATGCTGATAGCTGATACCATCAACCATTGATGATTTCACACACCCACATCCACTTTTCAAATAAATCATTTAACGTGTGTCTATGCTGTATGGGGCTATGACTAGATCATCATGATAGTGCCTTCTGGCATTAAATCTAGGAGTCTATTTTAGCTTAAGGCTCAATGTTGTCCTTCTCGCACCACTTTACAAAATATTTTAAATGTTGTTTTCAGCACAGAACAGAGGGTACAGAAATTAAAATGACTTTCATTTTCTCCAAAAGATTCTTTAAATCCTATTTAACATTAGTCAAATGAGTAAGTCGAGCAGACTTTTAAAACTAGATTTTTATACCATGCCCATCACTGCAGCATCCAAGTACCTAGGCCTCCCATAGCAAATAGATCTATCTGAATGTATGCATTCAAATTTCTAGGACATAAAGCCAGAGATGGGTACCCAGGAATCACTTGTAAATTTGTATGAGAGAGAAGCATGCATGCTGTTGTAACATGCACAAAGTGTAATCCACTGTACGCTCCCTTTTAAACTGACCGGCATTGGAAAGATTTATAAGGAAATAGGAGTCATACCAGAAAAAGCTTTTCCCCAGGTATTATGAAATCTGTAATTTTTAGTAACATGGATATAAGGATGCACAGAAATATGTAATTATGTAAAATATACACAAACTCAACTAGCACTGAGGAAGCTGAAGTGGCATAACAAATTTTTTAAAAAGTAAACATCCAAAATTTAACTCATGGGTCACAAACTGCACATCAATCCCCTGTATGAATAATTAAGGGGTACATACATGTGAACCTCATATACCAATAGACCTATAATGTCAAGGAACTCTCTTTTAAGAACAGTTCTCAATGGGAAAAAGGAGTTCTGTCTTTTTTGCTTGTGAAATGACAGTTTGACTTGTCTCCCTGTTGTGGGAATGGCAGCCAAGTGTCTGCTCCCAAAAGACAAGAATATATTGCCATGTAGATGCAAGTGCCAACAATACCAAACAAAAAGGGAAGAGGCTAGCAGAGCCCTCCCATGCCCCTTAGCTGGGGTGACCAGATGTCCCAATTTTATAGGGACAATCCCAATTTTTGGGTCTTTTTCTTATATAGGCTCCTATTAACCCCCCATCCCTGTCCCAATTTTTCACATTTGCTGTCTGGTCACCCTACCCTTAGCGAGCCAGGCGTGGGCCATGACCAAAACACCATCTGTTCCAGATCACCACATAGGCAGACGCGCTGTCATTCCCAGAGCGTGGTACCTCCCCTCCACCCTCAGCAACACCAGGAGGCAGCTCCTTTACAACCAGAGGGAATACTGAAGATGTCAGCAGTTCTGACATTTGCATGTAGTTCTCTGGGGTTGGCATACTGACTGTTGGGTGGGAGAGAAGTCTGGGCACTGGGCTGGGAGCAGTGTAATGGTGCTGATGTGGCTCACCTTTCACAACCTCAATTGTAGAGGCATAACTTATGGAGGCACCAGTTATAACTCCATAGTTAAGGCTCTTCGTTATTGGCATTTACCAATTTCCCCCCAAAAAATTCCTTGTTTTTTGGAAAAAATAACATTTGAGTTTTACCAATTTTCACCCAAATGTTGGCCTTTTCAGAACCCAATAATTTTTTTTTTAAAACAGGGAAAGCAGATAGGTTGTGCTGAATGGCTGGCAGAATCAGGAAGGGTCTCTGTCTGGCGGAGGATGTCAGTATTTACAGGCTGCAGCCTTCCATTTCTCTGTGGACTTTGGCCCTCCAGTGTGCCCCTTTCTCCCCCTCCCCACCATTTGCTTTCTCTGCTTAGTGGGAGCACGAGATGGATAGGGAGCCTTGTCCCAGCAGCAAAGATCACAGGCTTGCAGGGAATGGAAGGCTGCATCCTGTAAGTACTGCCCCACTGCTGGACAGAGCCCCCTGCGGCCTAGTTCGCTTCCTCAGTACAGAGGGAATAAAGAAGGGCAGGGAGCCAGGTCTCAGCAGTCGAGACACCTCTAACCACTGTGTGTGGGGTATGTGTGTGTGTGGCTTCTTCAACTGCCACATGGCCTTCATTTTCAGTTTTTACCAATTTTCCCACAGTTTTTTCAAGTTTTTAAATAAAACCCAATAAATTCCTGGGAAATAATTAAAAACCAAAAACAAAGAGCCTTATCCATAGTTGAGAGTGTTGAGTTTTGCACTTAATGCAGGGATTCAGCCTTTTAGGTATGAGTGTGTGAGATATAGCTTATCCTTCCCAAAGTTATAGCACTTATAGAGTGGAATCCACAAAGCAACTTAGGCTCCTGACTTCAGTGGAAGTTAGGATCTTAAGTTGCTTTGTGGGTTCAACTCTTAAGGCCTGTCTACACTTTGAAAAAGTTCCTCTTCTGCCTTGGTGGGTTCAGTGCTTTCTGGCGGATTTGCTCACCTCAGAGGTTCACGGCAGTCCTCAGTTTGGCTCCTTCCGTTAGTAGCACTAACCTGACATTCACTTGGCTAACCTCATCACTGGCCAGCATTGGGAAAAGGAGGAGAACAATCCCTGCAGTCTCTG